ACGTTGGTGAATCTGGGACGAGCACTCCAGAAGACGAGCGAAGATTGTGAGCGGTCCTGAAGTATCATCGAGCCATTTTTTCTGGGAAATGGGAATGCGGTTCCAACTCCGGCGCGAGGTGTCACCTGTGATTTGGATGTTGGAGAGAGTCCCAGATCGGTTGCACCACACTTATCAGTCAAAGTGTATGCATTGCTGAAGAAACGTTTGGAAACCCGGCTCATCGAGCATTCAGAGTCATCATGGGCATCACCCATTGTGATTGTACTCAAGAAAAATGGTGTGGACATCCGAATGTGTGTCGACTACCGAATTGTCAATGGATTCATTACGTTGTCCAATTATCCTCTACCGTTGATAGATGATCTGCTGGTTGGGTTTGAGGATGCCATGGTTTATGAGTTTGGATAAGGCGAGCGGCTTTTGGGCGGTCAAGATGTTCGAAAGAGCAAAGCTAATACCGGCGTTTGCCTGACCATTTGGACACTTTCAATGAACTCGTATGCCATTCGGACTCAAGAACGCGCCATTGATATATCAGTCGGTTATCAACAATTGTCTATGGGGATTTGTGAGATTGCCCCCAGAAGAAGAAGCAGAGGTCGATCAAGATGTCTTGGATTTCCTAGGTTTGGATCCTACAGAGAATCAAGAATCAGAAAGTGGAGGTCCAAGAGACGAAGTGAAGGGACTCACAGATTCCATGACGGTTTTCCAAAGGAACATCCCCATGCCCTCACGTATTGGCCCAGTGCTAGGACGCAGTTCTTACATTGATGACATTGCTCATGGTGCGAAAACATGGGATCAGCTTTGTGAGGATCTGGATACTTTGCTCTATCGCTTACGTTACTGGCATTTATCGGTGCGTTTACCAAAGAGCGAGTTTGGAAAACGATCGATCCCGTATTTGTCACATGAAAATAGTGCAGAAGGTATCCGAGCGACCCCAAAAGTTGTGAAGGGTGTTATGGATCTACCGTTTCCCAAATCTCACAAAGGTGTGCTATCGTTTCTTGGAAGTCTGAACTACTACCATAAGTTCATTGAAGAATTGTGGTGGCAGCAGTCCTCTAATAACTTTCAGAAGACAAGATACGTCAGGGACGAGACCTCTCTCGAGCTCATGAATCATTCGTACTGCTCAAAAGGAAAATCGTTGCGACGTCAATGTTAAGACATCCGGACATCCAAAAGCCATTCGTGATCATTCCGCACGCGAACCGTTGGGCTGCTTGTGCAGTCATAGGACAAGAATACGACGGAA